GAAGTATGTCCTCTGTTGGAAACTCCGCAGTGTCAGCCGGAGGGTAGATTCCACTTGGTCGGTCGCCAATCTTACCTGTAAAAAATGAGGTATGTGCTGAATTCAAGAGTGTCTTGTAGGACGAAATAGTTCATTTTTGACTGGTTGAATGAATGACTAAGTGAATGACTAAGTAAACGACCAATTTCCAAAATGACAGGCCAACCACATGGTGACTGATACACCATTCGACCAGCCAACCATATTTTACCTACAGAAGGTTTATTGACTGAGTAACTGACCTTTTGACCAATAACTGACTGACGACCATTCTGAAGTCAGTTCTTTGGTTACTAAAACAGTTTGTCAAGTGACAGAATGCCCAAGTCAACTCGAGTTAAAGGATTTCTTCCTCTGTGACTCCCATTTGAATTGTAGAATGGCCTTAAAATGCATTTATATACATAACCAGAAACCTCTCAGCAGCACTGTTGTAATAACACCACTAGAAAAAAGCCACACATACTTCTTACCTGTATACATACACGTTACCAATAAACCAAGAGCAGATATGGCTCTTTGAGGGTTTTGCATGGACAGCCTGAGATGGAAAAAAAATATATTAGTCAAAAAGGTGTGCGCAAATACTCCTTTACGTCTATGGTATTCTGTATCGCATTAAAATCATCTACGAATCAAAGACGTTATAGATTTTTGTGGCAAGAATTGTGGCGGGGCCTGTCTCTTTCTTATTTCCAACACGTATCTTTCTATTCCCGAGCGTAATAGTGACCACTTCCTCGGACATAACAGTGAAAAAAAAATTTTTTAAAAAATGGCTGACCCCCTTGAAACATCACCAATTTTGAAGGAATACTCGTCATAAATTGATCTTTTCATGTACTCTCCAAAGAAATTCTCCCAGGGTTGAAGATCAAAAGTTTCTTTTGTTTTTGCTTGAAAATATTTGTTTTGCCGTCGTCGTCAGAGAACAGAGTTCTAACTAATGATTATCTCACATCCAACCCACCTGCCCACACAACCCACCTGTTTTTGCTATGTATGATCACCCAACCCGAACTACCCTTCCACACTCTCACACGTTTGACTGTCTCTCCCGACCCACCATTCCATGTTAAGTTCGACCGTCCCACCCGACCTACCTGTCCACACTAAGTTTGACTAGCGAGTCTGACTCAGCACTCGACAGAGCAAATGATACTACAAGCCTCTCAAGTCCCCTAATGATGGCGTGATAGACACAGGTCGGGGTGCTGTCTTCGTTTGAGGACGCAGTGCGGACGGCATTCTGTACAATAAAATAAGATACCAAAGGTTGTTAAACTCAATCCCAAATATAATCAATATACAAGTAACCAATTGCGAGGTAAATGTGTCTAACACAAATTTCACATCTAAGGATTGCTTTTCAATGCTGTTCAATGTCATGCGGTACTCTCTTGAGCAATTATAAATCGAGTGTAAGGAGAAGTAAAATACTGCCTTAGATATAAGACGTTGTAAAATTTACCTTGAGGAGGTTTGCCTTTAATTCTTGATCACTGATTTCATCAGCGTATCTCTCCAGCAAGTAAAATGCTGTCGACCACATGACTAATAAGTGGTGTTCTGCCATTGACACGGCGCTTAGAAAATATTGAAATTAAGAAGGAAAAAATAAAGAAAGGTTTAATCAACCTCATCACACAACACAAAAAAATATAATAGAGAGTTTTAGTTTTAAAAGAAATGGTTCCAGTCCTAGCACAGTTTGGTGTTCTCTCACTCTACCCCTGTCCATCCATGAGTATAAATGGTTACGAAAACGTGTCAAGTAAACCTCCCAAAATACTTGATAGGGAGGGGTACTTGGGATGGACAGGTGACAGGTGACAGGTGACAGGTGACCCAATCAGTGAGATAAGCAGTACTCCCAATCGTTTCATGCCATGGAAACCTGGATAACCTCCAGCACTCAGTTAATAAGATGTAAAATGTTCATGACGGGAAAAAAAACCAATCACAGGGTTTTACCTACTTAAAACAATGAGAACATGCCCTGAACAAAGAAAAAAAAGAGATACTGAGTAATATTGTAAAGGAAACAGTCGTTATCCTACCCATTAATCACAGTAAGTTTCTTGCCCAGGAAATCTGTTAGGATTGGCAGTAGCACAGCACTTACAGATGGCACCTGAATTTCTAGTAAGTACATTGCACCATAAAGGGCAGAGATCTGTTACAAAAAAAAAAATACACAAGAATGAGCCAACTTTTCTTTGAAAGTCTGGAAACAAAACTGCAATGCAGAGACCATATCAAGTAACTGTCGTTAGCGCTCTGATAAGCCCTGTAGCACCCAGTAATTTCTTGGGCTTCCAAATGGGGCAGGAGTTGTTGACGCTAACCAAAAACTCATTGGGAAACAAAACGCCAATCATAATTTTTCCTCCGAACAGTTATTGGGACGTAAGATGAAAGCTTCCAAAACCTTCTAAGGAAAAGGTAACCAAAACTTTACATGTCAAATCTTTGAAAGGCTTCTTCCTTGATACATGAATGCTACTGCTTTTCGGGTACAACTAGTAAAAAAGCTTTGCTATGGGTTTTATTTAGGAATGGAGCTTATCAGAGAGAAAGATGGAGGGAACATTTGTAGACACTACAAGCTCTGGGTCAAAAGCATAATAGATTAAAACGCTTTTAATTACCTGGAGAGGAACATGTGGACTCCTAAGTGAAGATTCCACTATCTTACAAACTCTTTCAGTAATCGCTCCTTCCTGCAAAACAATGGCACATTACTGAAGGTTTCTGCAATTTTATGGCGAAACTTGAAGCTTGATTTGATGTCACAGGATTAGCTCGTACTGTCTAAATCAGCAAAGCGTGGAGGTTCTTCAACTGGGATAATAGTAGTTGCGGGTGCATTTCGTAATTTGTGGGTTTGAGCGATATTTTGAAAATTTTCGTAATTGCAAGAGCCGTAGGCGAGTGCTCTTTAACTCACTCCTTAACCCACTGATTCCTAACACCGACTAACATATTATTTCTCACTGCTGGATCAATCATTAAAATCATGTAAATAAGGGGAAATGATTACTAATCAAATAAGCTTATGATTTGAAACAAATTCTCTTGGTGAGTATCAAAGGAAACGTACACAGAACACTATGGAAAAATATATATACTGATGTTAGGATGCCAGTCAAAGTAAGAGGGAAGTTCAAGTAAACTGCGTTGGAGACGAGTTTCTTTTGCAAGTTCAACTGTCTTACCGTCTTTAGGAAAGCTAAGGCTTTACAGAGTGTAGGTAACAAGTACTGTATCAACAGATCATCTTCCGCTGAATGATTATGATGTAGATCAAGAAGAGTGCCCAGAACCCATTCAAAGTGTGTTCCATCAACGAACAGATCAGACAAAACCAAAAGCTGAAAAAGGAAAATGCCGATCGTTTCTAAGTTGTTTAAAATCAAAGTACGGCAAAGAGAGACCACAGAAGCCACGGCTACAGGTCCAAAGGGATTTGTACTACCATCTCAACCATCTATACTCTAAGGTAATTTAGTATTAGCAACCGAGTACATAACGTAAATAGGCCTGCGTAGAGAGATTTAAAGCTGACGTTTCGAGCGTTAGCCCTTCGTCAGAGCGAATGAACGAAGGCTAACGCTCGAAAAGTGAGCTTTGAAACTCTTTACGGTGGTCAATTTACGCTATCTACTCAGTTGGTAATACTTAATTACCCTTGTTATACTCTCCCATCGACGCAGCACCACAGTTTCTTTAGAAGCCCTTTGTTCATTCATAGTCTACTTTGCTGCCACCTAAACTAATCAGATACAAAACTAAAAAGGCAATCGCGCCTTGGTGACACTCATTTTCCCGCGCTTCAGACAGTTTTCTTTCCTATGTTCTTTCCTGGCCGATGTGATTAATCTAATGACACTAGAGCTGAACTCACCGCTTTGGTTGCCTCGGATAAGAGTGCCAGAGGAGTCCTGGGGTGAATATACGGGGACATCCATTGTTCGAAAAGCTCCAGAAGAAATTGCTCGCAAGACTTGATGTCGAGCTTTTCAGGTTGAGGCATGCGCGGAAGGGAAACTACAACAGCAGTATCATCTTCACTATCGTACCTTTCTTGGAGTTCGCTTTGAGCCTGACTGTGAAGTGCGCCCACAGATATCTAGTAAACACAAAGAGTACACACAGCATTTCTTCTCGACTCAAAAGCTCTTATTGTCGTATTTTATTTAGCTAGGCCTCTACTAAGAGCTACGTCACGATATTACGCGGTATTATCAGCGTCAAAAAGAATAAACAAGCAACTTCTCCCATATCATCATTACATTATTCACTAATTTGCCGAGAAATGTAATGCAAGTAAATCAGAGGGTTCAGAGACAGATCTTGAGAGTTTTTGGCAATAGGAAACATAGAGAGACAATGTTGACAAGACACGTCAAAATGGAGAAGAATTTGAAGGGTAATCAGGGCGACTCATAAATAAAATATTGGAAGCTGAAAAACCCCCTCACAACATTCCCTCTCAATCCATGCCCCACGTCAATAACGACACCAAAATTACTCAAAGATTTTTGTGAGCCAGGACCTCTTTCCTAGTATCTAAACTCATGCAGGCGATCGAATATGTCTTTGAGGTTTTGGCCACACAAAGAAAAAAAAAGCACCTCATGTAGACAACAAAATGTGACTTAAAACTGACGAAGCTACAACGGGTGACTTCGGTTGACACATTAACATTTTTCATCGTTTGTCAAAAGAAGGTATGACCTAGAGTACTACATGTTACCTGTCCTAAGGTGTAGTCGTGAAAACCCAGCACGCGATCGACATTGAGTCCGTAAAGCGGATGATCAAATAGCATTCGGTTAGTTATCCACATCGCACTTGAACTGTTTAAACACAGGAAACTGTTTGACCGATGGACACTTACAGAACGCTCTGGTTTTAGGTCTTCATCCGAGATAAATACTCGGCCAGTTCTACAAAAAGAAAACAGCAATTCAAACCTACTCAAGTTCTCTACGTCAAAGGATTCTTACACCTTTCCCCCCTTTTTTTCATCCCGATGAATTCCAGATCAATTGTGTACTATTCTTGGGCAAGGAAACTTGGTACTGGGTTCTTCCAAACTTCAAGGGAAAGCTGGTGAAATACTGAAAGAGGGTGGGGGGCGGCGGAAGAGAAAGGACGGGGTTAAACCTCCCGTCCAGACGGGAAAGTAGCAAATATACTCTTTCATAAACTCCTTTTTTAAGCAAAGGTTAATAGAAAAACTGAAAACTGAGGATAACAAAATACCATAGAAGTTACTATCACAATGGTGATGTCTGCCATGCTGTAGATGCATTATTAATACATATATATTTTGTAACACTCAATCCAGTTCTCTTTTATAATTTGAAGTCTTTAGGAACCAAGAAGTTTAGAGTAGCTGTTATGTTTTCAAGTGATATGTATGAGGATTTACATTGGCATGTATAAGAGTAAAGCAATTCATATCTAGAACTTTTCAAACGCCACCATCTCCGTAAATAAAAAGCAAAAGAAGAGACCCGAACCCTCTCAAAGCAACGATATTAAAGCTGATTCCACTTAACACTTGTACAAAAACTCTCCTTTATATTCGCTATCAGGACATTAATCCGTAGTTGATAGTTTCCTTCATATTCGTAATCCGTCTGCTTCACAGTGTACTGAAAAACTATAAGACGAATTTGCACATTGATAACCCCGAGTCGTCAAGGGGTCAACTAACAGTTTGACAACCATCCTCACTTGCTCACAAATTTATGGTTTTTCTTCAGAGTGTTTAAGATAAAAAAATAACCGGAGAAAATCTACCATAATTACCCTGTACAGCACAAGGAAACAAATTCCTCCTCAATCATGCCCCTAACAAAGGTAAGTTTCTTCCCTGCCCTAAATTGAAACAAGATGAAAGCAATTCTTATCAATTATACATTTTACTTAACCGTCACACTTTACTTCTTCCCCTAATTTTCATTACATGAAAAACGAATGGAACAGACTGTTCTCCTGTTTCATCATTTCCAATTCCTTAGGAATCGAAGTAACGGGTCACGTTCAATTAAAGAAATTTCTTGAAATAACGTTTGATTCCAAACAGGAGAGACTTTCCTTCGATTGGGTGCAGTACACCTACAATTCCTTGTAATCATCGCATGTGACCAGAAAAATGAATGAAAAATACCATAAGGTATAAAAGAAAACTCTGAGTAAAACCATGCACACCGACATCAGCGCAATAAAACGCGATTTTTGTTGTGTCTTTTGGGAACAGTCACAGTGTGCGATAAATCACACCGATGTAAACCCCAAGTACTGTGTTGTTTAGACAAAGGTTCAATGTTTCGATACACTGGGCATTCTCACCTGCTTCCCAAGAAAGGCAGATCCCTGTGTCTCGGTCTGTGAAGATAAGCACTTGCGCTTGGGTTTCCCGGGACTGGGTAAAGAGTGGTCTGAAGCAACAATTCTGAGATACAGCGGACTGCCAGGCAGCAGGAATGCGTCGACTCCATATCCTCCTACAGTGCAGTAACGAAAAAAGCGGGTATGAATTTACAACTAAAAAAGAAAAAATTATGGGGCTGTCGGAATTTGAACGCAGAAAATACTGATAGGTCGTTGCGGAGGGAGGCTAAGATACCCAAAATTCATTGCGGAACTTCCGCTAATGCTGCTGATACCCATTTTTACACTCACGGTCTCAAAATCAATTCTCCTCGCTGCCAGACGTACATTTCTTGTATTTTAATTCAGTTACTTTAATTTACAATTTAGTTCTACTAAACGCTGTTTTGCTTAACGATGAATTAACCCTTTCACTCCCAGATCTGTTTATGAATTTTCCCGTCTAGCTGGTTCCGACAATTTGGTGTTAGATCAAGATAACAACTTCTACCTCATAGGTTTGAGTTTTTTTATGACCTATTTGCTGGATAATATATGTATATTGTAGGAACAAGTAACATGTTGATTACTTCTGGGAGTTAAAGGGTTAATCTAGTAAGGGGAGACTGCTCATTGATTGCACCCAAGAGTAAAAAAGTTCACAGTTGTTTGCTGGCCCTAACCTAGAAGGTTATTGGCTACAACTGCCCTTGATCCGAAAATTAGCACACCATCAAACACAATAGTCAAAAACAGTGGTTAAGCATTACTAAGAGAAAAGAATTCATAGTCAGAAAAACACAAATTAAACGAATGATCCTTTCAGCTAGTTTGATTACATGAATAACAAAAAAACGAACATTATATGGGTAGACTAAAGGGGTAAGTTTCTAAAGAAACTGTGGTGCTGCGTCGGTATAGCAGGTAATTTAGTGTTAACAAACGTAAATTAGCCACCGTAAAGGGTAAAAAGCTGACGTTTCGAGCGTTAGCCCTTCCGACGAAGGGCTAACGCTCGAAACGTCAGCTTTTTACCCTTTACGGTGGCTAATTTACGTTTTCAACTCAGTTGTTAACACTAAATTATATGGGTAGGACGACAAAGCAATAATCGCAGACAAACGTTTGAAATACATTTGCAATTCAGCAGAAGAAAAATATGAATCATGCATGTAACCTATCTCAGGCTTCCACAGCCGTTCTTCGCGATGACATGCAAGGCTCTGAAGGAAAGTCAGCGAAAGTTGCTAGCCTATATCACCATGGACTTTTACAACTCACTAAATTTGAAAGGAAGTGCTTGAAATCGAATTTAGTCGTGGTTCACTGAGTGCGTAAAATTCGGACCAAATTGGGCCACCATCTTAAAAGAATTAAACAAGAGTGCATGATCTTTTCTCAACAGATTTCAATGTCGTACAACTTGAGAAAAACAAATTTTAAACAAACCTCTGTTGAAACTGTATCTGGTAGAGGTGGTGAACTGATCACACCGAGAAGGGCAGCCCATGTTTCTTCAAACTGTTGTCTGGAGGTCCACCCTGACAACAAAAAGCAACACACCAGGATTTTTTTAAGTACCAACTTATCAGGACCCAAAATACCTTCCTCACTAGCAGCCGATAACTGCGCATCAATAACTGAATTAAACAGAATCCTTAGAGTGCTCGGGAAACTAACGAAACAATTGAATGAAACAGAACCAAAAGACTCCGGGAGATACTAACGAAAAATTGAGTAAAACAGAATCTTCGGAGTGCGCGAGATACTTGAGAACAATTGGATAAAACTGAATCAACAAACTGCGCGAGATACTAACGAAACAATTGAATGAAACAGAATCCTCAGAGTGCGCGAGATACTGATGAAACAATTACTGAGCTTGGATCAACAGACTGCACGAGATACCAACGACACCATTGAATGAAACAGATTCAACAGACTGCGCAGGTTATTAGAGGGGCAATTGAATGAAACAGAATCCGCAGAGTGCGCGAGATACTACCGAAACAAATGAAAGATACAGAATAAGCAGAGTGGGAGATAATATCGAAACAATTAAATAAGACGCAATCAACAGTGTGTGAGATACTAGCGAAACGAAAACTTGGCCACTTAGCACCAAAATAGTCACAGTAGTTGGGAAAAAAAACCAACACAGGACAAGTCAGGAACAGGAACAGGTAACCAAACCTTACCAATCAAATTAACCCTTTTTACGAATTCATCCAGGACATCTTTCTCTTTCAAGATCTCTATCGGTAAAGGAGGAAGCTCTGTTTTAAGAGGCCCTTCAGGGACTGGTGCCCAGCCCATCTTCCACACCAAAGGTAGGGTGCGCGCATAGCTGTTAACAAGAGGTTGCCTCGCTAAACCAACAATGATGTCTTGAAAAGGACGCAATAGGAATTGAGGCAGGGAGGGTTTTTGAACTGATCCTGGTTTCAGGATGGTCAGTAGCCGGTGGATCAGCTGTGAGATTTCTCCACAGGCTTTCCTAGCAATCTGAACTCCTACAAGTCAAAGAGAGCAGATTCGAATTCAGTCAATTTGCTACATGCTTAACGCTTTCATTCCCATGCGTGACCAAGAAGGAATTTCTCCTTCTAATATTAATAGTATCAAACAGACAAGTGACGATAATAAAGACAAAAATCAATTAGGGGAAAATAAGTGGATCCAATACCAAATTCTCTTAGAAGCAAAAAGAGAATTGTATGGCAGACAGTAGGAAGAATCATTAATGAGAACTTGGGAGTGACATGGTTGCGTGTGCAACAAATACACACTTAGAATAAGACGGGTGTGCTTATTCCAGGATTTGAGCACTGACTCTAAAATTTTCATGCTTGCTCGGTTAGTGCTGGTGATAATTTTCAAAACTTACCCTACTCACAAGCTGCAACCAGTGCGCTACAAGAGTGCGGACTAGTAATGATAAACCTCAATTACCATTATAAATCTCGTTTAGTTTCAGTGCTCATTCCATAAAATAAAAATAACAGAAAAACAGTTAGGGAGGTATGTTCATTCGAGGGGAGGCGCTGATTCGACGATTCACAGTTTTAAAATGTCTATTACCTTCATCCCCCATATCAACTTTAATTTGATCAGTAAAGAAGCCTTCCTCGTCATTGTCACCACTACCATCAACTAAACACAGAATGAACATCAGAAGTTTGATAACAAACTTAAACTAATCCGAAAAGACTCTCATTCGAGCATATTCTTTATCATACATATGTGCAAAATACATCGAGTTTCTGACAAAGTGACTGCAGTTGACTCCCGTTATTGAGGACACCCTCGGGGAGATATTTAGTGTCCGTAATAGCGTGAGTTCGTAATAACGGGTACGAGAGAAAGAATATGTAATTACGCAAACATAACGTTTCCAACGTGGCCTCACGAGTTAGAAAAAGATCCAGCCGCAAGCAGGAAATTCTCATGTTCGCACCCAATTCAAGAGTTTTGGTTTCTTTACTTTTCCTTTATCGTAATGTGGCTTTATATTACTTGAGTCAGGATTTTCGACGAGGTACTTGAGTGTCCGTTACAGCGAAAGAAAAAACGAGTAAAATGTCGCACTGGGGGGCATGGAAGTGTTCGCGTTTTAGTAATAGCGAGATTCAGTAATAGCGGGAGTTTCTTTCAGTCATTTCCTTATGCGTTATGCCGGGGGGCTGGCTCCCGTCCGCAATGAGGGGGTGTCCGTGATAGCGAGGTGTCCGCAAGGCGAGAGTTGACTGTATATGCATATGCCGTCCTAGCTTCGGGTATATGCATTCCCTTCAATCGATACAACAGCCCAGGTCACGCATCACGCAACCTCGAATGAGTTCAGAAGAATCAAAAACCCATATGACCACTTTAAAATACTATGGTACACATCACCGACACTGCCTTAAGTAAGTACCACAATCTGCATCGTCAACAGCCGGTACTGCCATCTACACTTTTTACAGTACTACTGTCCACATCAGATACAGTTATCTAAACTTCCCACAGTACAATGCAGAAAGATGGAGATGACTATATCTCCAGTAGAGCTGGAGATATAGTCGTATTATCATGCTAATACAAATCTAGTGCACTTAACTCCTGTTATGCTTACCTGCATTTAAGAGCACGTGAACGTGATTAATAGCAGAACAAACCAACGGAAAGAACTCAAGTTTCCCAATACTCTTTGCGCAATCAAGATTAAGGTACTGTAAATTCCCAGCAAAAAAGAAAAGCAAAACTAGTTAGTAAATCACTAATCGCTCGCCTCTATAATATCCATTCCCCCGTGATGGTGACTGAACTAAGTATCTTTAAACTACTGTTTCCAGACCTGTGCGCCAAATGTCAGCTTAAAAACTCTTTACGGTGGCCACTTTTTATTATCAACTCAGTTAATATACTATATTGCTTGAAGCAAATTACCATGCTAAAAGAGAACTGGCTGAAAAGTCCGGATAAGCAGGGAAAGCTACGAAAAATTCCTGTCGCTCATTGAGATTGGATTGGTACGTAGCTGGTACTAGGGTTTCCCAAAGAGGCGAGTGATTAAGAAAATTTGGTTTCCTGGCCGTGAGAAAAAACAACACACAAACGCAAACACAAACAAAGGTTTGTTCATAAAAGACATCCTGAAGTGAAAAAAGCTCAATAAAAATTACGCCTATGGTACAAGCTTATTATTTGTTTTAAAGGAGAAATATTAAGTTCTTCTCTAAAAGTAATACGAAGTATCGAAAACTGTTTTAATGAGTAAGTTACAAAAACATTATGCCATTTAGTAGAAACTGGATTACCTTAGCCAGACATTCAAGATTAGACTTCAGTTCAACGGAACATGGACGTTTACCATTTACAAGGGAATAATGCACCATCTGAAAAAAGAGATTGGACAAGAGAATCCAAAATCGTAACATCAATACCTTTGAAGTTTCAAGGTATTTCAAATCATCAGTATCTTTTTGCTATATGAACCACATTATCGTCATGTTTCAAGACTAGAGGCATGATAAGCTATGGCACAACCATAATCATCCGTACATATGAAGGAAAAAGGTAGGTCAGCTTACCAGCCAGAAAGGCCCTCCAGCCACAACTTATTTTGGCATCAATAACAAAAAGTGATAAGAAGAACTTCTATCCTCCTCCCCTCCACGGGATGCTCGTCCATTGCAAGGTTAACCCGAGGTATTTCGCAGGTACTCAGTTATACACCCGGAAGGGGGGGGGAAGGCAACGTCAGAGTTAGCAGTCCCACCCAAGGACACAACACAACCCTACCCCCTCTTTCCCCTCCTGAACATAAATCCAATAATTTTATTAACATTGTCACTTACCGCCAATGGAACGAAAACAAACTGAAAAAGCGCTTCTTGGCCAGATTCGGGGATTTTACAATGCTTAGGAAGAGTCGGAATTGCACCAGCTAAGGCCACAAGAGCCCTTGCAAGGGACGTGACCTTTTTGCACCAATCAACATCATTGCAGAGAGCTGACAGACGATCAGAAGCCAACTGGAAACACTGCAGCTTTGTTGAATTTTCATTATCTGTGGTAATAAACGAAGAAGAAGAACGAAGACGACACAGTTGCAAAATGTTTCCTCGATGATTTCAAAGTCTGAATTAAGCTAAAATATTTTTAAAGACTTTGTAAAGAAAAACTTTAATCACGACCAGGCGAGTAGCACTCTCTAGAATATCACCTGACTGAGAATACTTTTTTCCCATCATGGTAATAACAAGACGACCCAAGCAATATTTGGCTTATTACCTTCACGATTCCTTTATCCTTTTCACTTCCAGGAATAATCAAGAAGGAATTTCTCCTTACAATATCAACACATTTTCAAGCAGGTGAACAGAAGAAATGAAAATATCCATTGCCGCCATTTTTTATCATACACCAGATTCTCGGAGTTAAGATTAAAATTTAAGTGTGACTGATAATAGGAAGACTTGATATCAGGATCTTGGAAGCCAAAGTTAAACGAAAAGCTTCCTTAAGCGACCACCTTTTCCTGCACTAAGAGTGGTCGTTAAAGGGAGACTTAAATGTGCTACTGTTGCTCTATTTACTATACACACGTTCTAATGAGTAGGTTCTCTCAATAAAATAAAAAAATGTCATGTTAGTATTACCTCTGAACGTTCTCGTTGTAATAACATCCTTTGCAACTTGTTCAATTTTGGAAAATAAAGCGAGTTTGGAAATAAGCAATAATTGATCGACGTCATGGTTTTCAAAGTGCTCTGCATTGTTAAGTAAATTACTTGGTACGTTCTGGAAAGGAAAAGAGAAACGTTAATTAGGTCACGATAGATTTTACTGAGAAATACACAAAATGGCAAATACTCTTTAAGACCAAAAGGCAAAAGTGTTGGCTTGTTCGCAGTTTACTTCTTTTCGCAGGAGCGTACTGGGGGCAAACGTCGCTGATCAAAACGGCATACCAGTAGTTACGAATTTCAACTAGTAAGAAACTTGGTTGCTGGTTTGTTGAATTTTTTAAGATTTTCAGACCTCCCGTAACCAAATGAAGGTCGCAGAAACCAATTACAACCTCAAGCAGGATTAAGGGTATTTACGCTTTTATCAACTGAGTGTTGAATGTAACCCAGTATTGCATCGCTTTTACTTCACACTGCTCTATGATTTGTTCGGAAGACTCCCACAACCTACCAACCAATCAGGTGCAAAACTAATCCTGACTTGGTAACTGGCGTTTTCCCGCCCTTAAAGCCGTTACCTTCCTTTAATTTACGTTCTCATTGGCACCCTGTGATTTCACAGTAGTTCTGATTGGTCATGGCGAGTACTAGGGTTTTCTTTTCGTGACACTCAATCGAAAAGCACTCAGATTCAATGCCAACAACAAAAAACACTCTGCTATGTCGCTAGTTTCTTGCTTCACGAGAGTTACAAGTAGTACAAATTACCTCTCCGTTCTGCCTTCTCGAGGTCAACAGAAGAGTTCTTTCGATTCCAAGTGATATACATTCTTCAAGCAGAGAGATGTCAAAGTTCTACAAGAAATAAGAAAGGAAATATCTTAGCAAGTCAGTTACATAACGGTTGAAAACTTTATTTCAAAACTTTTCGGCTGAATCAAAATTCCGATCGTTCACTGTACACCATCCTGTACATTAACGCCGGCTCTGTTTTTAAGCACACACCTCGTGATTTATGACAAAAGAAACTTCCTTTGCATTCAGAACACTGAGCATCTGAATCGCCTCAGGTTTAACGTTGGCTCCGTTCCTCTGGTCCATTGGACGAGCAGCAAAACAGCATTGCTGAGCAAGTCGGCAAAACCATTCCTGTAGTACAGACAAAGATTGAAGATCAGTTTTCACGCACCAGATTATTTAGGCTGTAAACAGTACTTTCTGTCGGTTTACAAAAGGAATGACCAATGCAGATGTGCGCAAGAACAGTTTGTTGAGCTCGAGCAGGTGGTCAGTGATTTTCGAACTGTTTGAGTGCCATCCGCTTGGATAGTTACGCCAGTACACCGACTGAAAGGAGTTGATTAATCTCTCCTAAAAATGTCATTTCTATCAAAAACCAACTTCTTAGAGCTAACATTAAAAGAAATGTGCGGCAATCATTAAGGAGAATTAATGTCAAGATTTTGAAAGTTAAGTGGCAGGTAAATTGCAATTGAAATATTTAGTCAAGCCTGAAAAGATAATGTTGAGACGGATTGAATAAGTTTCCCACAAAACACCGCTCCAGTGCTGCACAAGACGAGTTACACCGCTCCAAGCTCGGAGCAAAACAATAAGTATTAAGATATATCATATCATAAATTTCACATATAACTTGCGAAAGTATGTATGACTAAAAGCTAGATGAGGGCGAAGCTCTAATCAGCTATCATGCATAGAAATCTTGAGCTCAAAGTCTAATTTTTTAAGCGTAAAAAAAGGTAGAACATTGCATCGGTATTGCAGTGGTCATGGGTTCAAATCCCGTAGAGGCCTCCATTTTTTTTAGGCCTTATTTTCGTTACTGCTTAAGTAGTGTTCATGACCACAGGCCTCCATTTTTTTTAGGCCTTATTTTCGTTACTGCTTAAGTAGTGTTCATGACTTCGAAGACCGCTTTCATACTTAAAAATCTACTAGTCGTTCAAAACTTAATCAGATTGCAGTATTTGTGAAAGAACGATGGCAAATTTAAACAAAAACGTTTCGTAGAAAAGCCTCCTCTACATAGTCACCTGATCAATCGTGTAGTTTTTCATAGACGAAGCCAGATCTTCATTGCAAGGCATATCCCTTTCCACAGGTGAACTTGAGGGGAGAATTTTAGTTACCAACGACAACAACGTTTGATTTCTAAAAA